CCGGCCTACTACGTTGTTAAGTGAGACGTCGCGGTTCTCAATAATGTTTCACCTCACCAGCCAGCAGAGTTTTCTAAACGTCAGAAACTGGATGAGTATGTCTTTAATTCTAAAAATAGCCATGATAATAATAATAATAATAATAATAATTAGTAACGTATTTTCTGGACTATAAGTTTACTTACTATAAGTAAGCATTTTTTCCAGCCTTTGACAGGGTTTGTGACTAATACTTAGGTGCGATTTATATTTTAAAATATATATAATTTCATGTTTGTTATTTTCACACTGACAGCCGCTAGAGGGCACTCTAGGCTCGTATACCAGTATCTGCTACTACTGTGCCACTGAAAATTTACATGTTCGTTATTTTCACACTGACGTCCGCTATAGGGCACTCTTTTTTCTTTCTTTTTTTTCATTTGTCTGATGCGACTTATAGTCCGGAAAATACGTAAATAGAAATTACATATAAAGCTCTTGTGTCTTTGATGTGCAATTATCGCAGCATAAGTTTTATGCTGAAAGACCTTCCTAACACAAGCCTGACCAGACTTGGGACCTTAAGTAAGAGGATAGCCACCCTACCCTAATGCCTGGTTTATAATCCTGTGATTCTGATGTGAACTGATACAAATGATTGGGATTAAAAATTGGGACTGATTCATAGCCTCAAACTGCTTATCTTGTGGTTGGGTCTCTACTCTACTGATACTCAGGATCGGTATCGGTCCAGTATTGGCTGGCATTTCAGGATCAAACATTAAAAAAACCCCAAAACAACTATAGCCCATCCAATCCGATACCTAAGCTGAAAACCTCAACTTAACTTTGTGCAAAAAGATTCAGAGTATTTTTTGTGTGTTCTTTTGCTCAGGCCAACTACAGGCCAACGCCTACTGTGAGACTCCAGACATAGTGTTGGTGGGAAACAAGGCTGATCTGGCTGATCAACGCGAAGTTCAGGAGAAGCAGGTCAAGGAGCTGGCCGATAAATACGGGTTTGTGTTGTTTTTTTAAACATATTTTTTAATTTTGACATGTTTAGACATGCTGCCA